TCTACTTATTTCTAGAATAGGAAATTTGTCCTCAGACGCTTACTTAATGTAACCACGTGAGAACCTCAAGGAGTTGCTGATTTGTGTGGAAAATCACGAATTGGGAAAACCTCTTCTCTTATTTAAGTAGCTGTTATCTTTAAATGTCTCTAGTCCCAGTGATAGTAGCAGAGGTAAATATCATCTTTTTAATTGGAAAACCTCCGAGTAGTAACCCTGTTTCTTATCTTTGACTCACCTGTCTCTTGAGTTACTTCTCTGTGAATGTGACTGTCATATTCATATTCACCATGCAGCTGTTCCCCCAGGGATGGTCTGAGAGGCCAGAAGGTGTTCTTGCTCCGTGGCTTCAGCAGGTCTCAATCTGTGAACGGTCTAGCTTGTAAGAGATGCATTTGGGATGATTTTGTCTCTTGAGGTCAGTGAGCAGAGATCTGACCTCTTACCCTGTCACTGATGCTTAACTAGTAATCTTATGCAGGTGTATTCTTGGCTTGTTGCAGCTGTAAAGAAGTTTATTTATCTGTATATATATATAAATATGTGTGTATATAGTTCACAGCAGAGTGTGCTTAAGCTAAGTGACCTTGGTTTGCTACTTGCTGTGGTTCAGCTGATGTGTTATAACTCATTAAACTTCAGGACTTTGATCCTTAGCTTTTATCTTTGTAGCCATAAATGCAGTGTCTGGTCATAGCGAGCAGGTCTTCCGAGTCCACAGTTGCCATTCTTGTCTGCTGTGTCTGTGCTTTTCCTGTGTCTAAGATTGTGTCACGCTATTTTGATTCTAAGAAATATTCCTTGAGCTCCTTCCCCCACCCCAGCACCCTGAATGCCAACCTTCTGATCTGAAGTACAGTTCTTACAGCATCATATCTGGATTGTATGGGCTATTCTTCATCAGTCCCTTAATCACTTCAATCACAGAACTGTTAGGGTTGGAAACGCCCTCCAAGATCATCTGGTCCAACCACCCCCCTACCACCACTGTCACCCACCAAACCATGTCCCCAAGCACCAGGCCCAACCTCTCCTTGAACACCCCCAGGGACGGTGACTCCACCACCTCCCTGGGCAACCCGTCCCAGTGCCTGACTGCTCTTCTGAGCAGAAATGTCTCCTCATTGCCAGCCTGAACCGCCCCTGGGGCAACTTGAGGCCATTCCCTCTAGTCCTATCACTGGTTACCTGTGAGCAGAGGCTGACCCCCAGCTCCCCACCCCTTCCTCTCAGGTAGCTGCAGAGAGCAATGAGGTCTTCCCTGAGCCTACTCTTCCCCAGACCAAACACCCCAGCTGCCCTCAGCCTGTAAAGAAAACTCTTCTGCCTTTACTTTAAGAATTACCGTGGCCTGTAGGCCTTGTTTTCAGGCAGGCCATCAGCTCCACACAATTTTTTGTCAGGTGTCTTTTAATCATCTGAAGGGTGACAAAGCAGATAGACTTAGCGAAACAGAGCAATCTGTCTAACAGACCAGCTGCTTGATTTTATTTAATGTTTTTACCAGCAAGGAGAGTTAAGTGCTTGATTGTGGTGGATGAGTGGGACGTTACCCTTAATCAGCCCCGAATGTACAGGTCACCCTTCCTTAGGACCCACGTGTCAGTCTGTATGCTGCAAAAATAGATTATATTTTGGTTGCTTGGTGATTTTGTTTTGTTTTGTTGTTTGTTTGTTTGTTTTTTTTTCAAACTGGCAACATGATAAAAATTTTCCAGAGCACTGACTGCTCTTTGGATGTTTGACTGTTCAGCTGATGTCTAAAATAAGACGTATCAGTTTATCTACTTGAAAGATGTTATTGTCTTTTTCTTCTTTTTTTCTTGTTGTTACTAAGGTGGATGGTTCCCAGGCTTGAGGGATGGAAGGCAAAGAAAAAGGACTAACAGTCTTTTCCTGATTTTTCTCATTTTTGTGCTTGCAGATGATGATAGGAGCACTGTGGGACTTGCTAACATCGCAGAGATTAGCTTGGAGACATCCTGCTCTGCACCAGCTGCTCTCAGTGCTCTCCCAAATTGAGTACTAAGGATGCTGTGTTCTGCTAGGATTAATTTTAGGCTATTTTGAAAAACTGGGGCTGGCCTGCTTTGGTGCACAAATTGGTGTATGTTCAGTGCTACGTGAGCTGAAAACAATTTTTCCTTCTGACCGATGTTTTATTCTCTACCACGTTGTGTCTATGCTAGGTTTGTCTTGTACATAGCTGTTACTGCCTTTTAATTTTTGGAGACCAGGCAGCTCCTGGCTGAGGCTGGAGTACTGTAATACAGATTATGTATCTGTCTCTTTCCATCTGCCTTTTCTCACCTTTCTTCACTGCTCTTTGCACTGTGAGAAGACTGAAAAGGAAGAGGTTTCTGAGGAAAAAAGGAGATGAGCAACCCCCAGAAGTTCCAAGATCCAAAAAAGCAGTCCTGTTAGTTCTCTCTTCTTCAAGTGTTTGTCATCCATCTCCTCAAGAAGGCCCTGTACTTGGGAGCTCCTTCTGGCAGGGCTCAGTTGACAAGGATGAGAACAGAAATAAATCAGGAAGAGGACTGCGGCTGGAGAGCAGCCACTCGTGCATGGTCCTTCTTGAAATAACCTGTGTCCCACCCAGATTGCTGACTTAAATCCAGCTTCTCCCCTGCACAATTTACTCCTTAGAGTATAAAAAGCAGTGCGTGGACTTCAAGAGGACAATAAAAGGCAACTGCTTCAAGCAGCTGTGATATAAATTTCAGGGTGTTGGTAAGAGTATCGTAGGAGGCTTAAACATCACCGTACTGTTTTGTCCTTTCTCTGTGGATGCGTGGGTTCTGCAGTAGTAGAGGCCAAGCCTGCCCCAATTCCTTTCCAGGCCTACAGCCTGTACAGCAAAATGTCCCTTCACACCATGTAGCACTTGTTTGGGTGGAATAATTTTTTTGCATGATGAGAAGCGGTCAGTCTGCTGAGCAAGGAAGGCTTGATTTTGGATTGAATGAATCTTTTTAAGGCTTAGTTTCTCACCAGGCTCCTGCCAGTCTGACTGAAAGTTTTGAGAAGTGAAAGGTTCGCATCTGAAAGCGCCAGTGGCCAAGGGGCGATTGGAGCCTGTTCCCAGACTGATACCTGCGGAGGTCTGCACGGCTCTTCGGTCACCTGCCTCAGTGGAGAAGCCCTGTCACCGTGAAGGAGTGCAGTTCAGCAGGCAAAGCCTTACCAGCATTAAAACTTTCTTTTAGCCTAAATTGAAGGGACGGGAAACAGAGCTTAAAAAGATGTTTTTTTCCAGAGACCTAACAAACACTTTTTCTTGCCAAATAACTCTTTTACAACCCTTTCCTGATGATTTCTGCCCAAGTCCCTTTGCCTCCTCTCTCCCTTTACTGTCAAAGAGCTTCCCTAGGCATCTCATTTTCTTGCCTTGCCTTCTGAGCAGCCTGTCAACCAGGCAGCTTACAAACATGCATCTGTCTCTATACCAACTACTCCTCCTGAATCCGCTCCAGATCTTTCTCCATCACACTATTAACGGTGTGGTTTGACTTGCCATCTCTCCTCCATTTCCCATTCTCTAAACTGGTTTGCCCTCTGCTTCCCTGGCTCCGTAGCACGGCCATGAGCAAGCCACTGCAGTGCCATTAGCTTCCCTCCTTTTGGGGCCATGCTCTGGGAACTGCACACAGGTTAATATATTAACTGGCACTCATTTTGCCTACTCTTTCCTCTGGATGCTAACATCGATCTTCTTTGCCTTGCTGAGAGTCTTGATTCACCAGCTCTGACATTTCCTCTCTCTGTCACCTTCTAAAAACATCCATCTCGTACCTCACAGCCAAATCCTTCCCATCCATATTCTATTTTCAGCTCAGCTTTTACTGGATAGCCTGCCTATTTAACACTTACAAGGCATACAGAAATGCTGCAGTGGCCTGTGGATTGCTTTGTTCTTTGCTGAGCCTGGTTGGGGCATCTCAGCACGAGCAAACTTCAGCCCCTCTGCAGTTTTGAAGGGAAGCAAGTGCTTTCAGAAAGTAATTTCTGGCGCCTAAGTTAGCAAATTAGCTCCTGCTCAGCTGACGTGCTCCAACTCCCCTCCTCCCTGCCTTGTTTCTGAGGAAGTGGAGAATTCAATACGTTTTCTGACTCTCCTGGCCTTTCTTGTTAATGCAGTCTGTTCAAACTCCACGTTGCATATAATGGGTATGCATGGACTGAAGTAATTCTCAACCTATTAAAGATATAAGAAGCATTACGGAATGTTAAAATATCACTTTTGTTTTGATTTATATTCTTAAATATCCCTTTATTCCTGGTTAGAAGGTAGGAGGAATCAATAGGTTTTTCTTTAATGCAACTTCTACAGTTCCTACTTTTCCTTTTTTTTCTCAATGGGAGATTTTTCAATAAAAAACAACTCTACAAACTAGGTATTTGCTCTTTTTAGTACCTACATCACAAGTTTTTAACCCGTAGTGATAAGGACCATCAGAGTAATAAAGCTGAAAAGGCTTCTCATCAAAACAAAAACCAAACCAAGTAAGTAAGATACCAACAATATGCTACTTTTCTGTGTGGAGAATGTTTTATGTAGGTTAAAAATAATTATTGCCTTCTCACACTCTTTAAAAAAAAAAAAAAAAAAAAAAAGCTACACTTGCTACCAAAGGCGGGTCTTTGTGATATTTTTTGAACCTTCAATCAAGGGCTTTGGGGAGGAAGGAGCAGGGGGTAAAGAGTGGGTAGGCAAAGTGCGCAACCACAACAAAAAATGCCTTGTGCTGGTTAGCTGCCATCTCAATTACAGACTATAAAAATAAATATTAAGCACATTTAAGTGACAGCTGGCAATGTCAGGTCCTTTTGAAAGTGTTTGACCAGTATGGGTTTCAGCTTGTTGTGCTGGTTCCGTTTTATTTTTTTATTTTTATTTTTCAAAAGCAGCCTATTTAGGCACAGCGCATAACAGGTACTGCTGGCATCTTCTCCCTTTTTAGACTTACTGTAAAAGGAAAGCACTCTGCGAGGAAAGCTTTTACTCGTCTTCCTTTAATTTTAATGTTATTGTGTCAGTTTCCTTTCCCACCTTAGCCACAGCTGTTATGCTGTTTTAAGAGCCCTATTTTAAGAGTCCGTCCCTAGTTAGGGGTTTGGATCACACAATTACGGGATCCTGCTGTGCCTGGGCAGGACTGGAGGAAGCTGAGGCTTAACACCAGTATTCATCCTTACGGGTGATTTCCTCAGTGAGCCAGTGCTCTACAGTAATTAACGGAGCTAGGGATAGTTCGCTGGTTCTCGGGCAAAATGAGTGGTTCTGAAGCTGGAAATGACTGTTCTTGTGTCAGGGAGACAATTTCTGTCTCTGATCGCATTGAAGACTTGGTGCAGTTCAGGTGCTCCGTCTTCGTTCTCTTTGTTCAGCTCGGTGTCTCCATTCAATCTCGATACAATCAGCAAAGAAGAATGTACTGTGTTTCATTTCAGAAGCCCTCTGATGAAGAGAAATTTCTCCCAAGAGAAATTAGCAGAGAATTAATGCTATTTGGAGCTATAGTAATCGATGCAATATTTTTTACACTCCTTGTCTTTATGGATGTTGCTGGCTTACACTTGCATCAGTGATCGTGACTTACAGTCAGCCCTTTTCAGTAGATCTTCTTTATCTCTAGAATTATTTCACGAGTGTTTGAAATCCCCAATTTGCAAAAGCAAATGGCTTTTGGAGTGCGTCTTTGTAAGAATGGGACTGCCATTTATTCAATGGTTCTTTAAATAGTTCTGCAGTTGGTTCGAACCAGCCTTACAAGGGTTGGATGGTAGATAAGCAGATGTCTTCCTTCCAAAACCAAGGATTCTCTCAAAATTGCTCAACACTGTCTCGAAAGAAAGCTCATCCAATGTTAATGCACTAAGCAGAAATTAAGACTGGGGCACCTCCCACCTAGATCAGGTTGCTCAAGGCCCCATCCAGCCTGGCCTTGAACACCTCCAGGATGGGCAGCCACATCTTCTCTGGGCAAGCCTGTGCCAGGGCCTCACCACCCTCACAGTAAAAAATTTCTTCCAAATACTTAATTTAAACCTCACCTCTTCTCGTTTAAAGCCATTGCCCCTTGTCCTATCACTACAATCTGTGAATGAACGTATGTGCCTTACACTTGATAGGAAACTGAGTGGATGGAGACTTTGTAGAATCACAGGATACAGATGTCAAAATATTACTTCTAAGTAGCACAGTTACCATTGTTGTTTTTTTTTCCACGGTCTGATTTTGGGAAAAATCCCAAATGATCTAAAGTCAATTAAGTTCTGAATGTCAAAATTTAGAGTAATCATGAAATAAACGTTTTTTCCATCATAAGTGTTTTTAATAAGCTTTTCCACCTCAAGCTCCTACTGGTCTCGATTCTGATCCGCAGTCCAGCGTGTGCGGTACCCTAATCTTCGGATGGTCCCAGTGATACTTGGTGGCATTAATCTGGGGAATAATTTATGGTGCACCACAAATAGAGGCTGGATTCACACGAGGCAATTTTGTGAGCTTCTGGATAGCTCTTTCTGATTGAATTGTTACATAATTTATTTTGAAAGAAGAAATAATGAACTTGGAGAGAGAAAAATGAAAAAGATTCAACTTTGGCTTTCCTCCTTATTAGATCTGTTACTTCTCCACATGCGTTTGGGGCTCCTCTTAGCTCTTGGTGTAGTGCTGTATCATACTGTACTGATAACAGGGCTTTGTTTGCGAGGCAAGGGCAAAGGACACCAAGAATAGGACTAACAGGACGAGGTCCCTGACGTGCCTAGGTAGGTACGTTAGTCATGACCTTACTAATGAGGAACGTAACAGCAGATGATTTCCCTGCTAAAAATCGGAGCTGGTTAACTTGCAAAGGAGTACAGATGAGTTGAGAAGACAAGACAAAGCACTGAGAAGCTGTCATGCAGACACAGAAATCTTGCATCGCAGTTCTTTCTTCGTGCAAATAAGGCGGAGTACGTTTTATTGAAAAAATGCTGAGGAATAGCAGGCAAAATTGGCCAGCTTCACATTCACAGTTTTACATTGATTTTTTTTTTTTAATTTAGTTTATGCAGCGCAGCAGATGGCATTGAGAAAACAGCAAGTCTTGACTTCTACTTTCTTTCTCCAGCACGAGCAATTGTTCTTTCGGGGGCATTTTAAGAACCTACCGCTCACAGGTCTCAAAGACTGGCATGAGACCTGCAAGTCCTGCAATGTGAAGACAGCAAGAAGAAATTAACTCAGAAATGTGTAGGGTATAGTGAATAAGCAAAATGAGTGGATGTAGACAATTCCCACCAGACTACAGTGTTTTGTTTGATGGTGCAAGGAAATGTCATGTTTAAGTCATATGGTAACATCTAAGTGCCTCAAAACGAGTTTACACCTGGGTTTGGTCATCTCTTTTGTTGGATTCAGCTGAAATCATTGTACCAGCGCTGCAACCAGGGCATGCTGGTTTGAAACAGAGAGGTAGTTGTGCATTGTAGAGAAAAATAAAGATGGTTTGGAATGGGAAAACTGTGTCTGTGTTGGTGGAACAAACTATAATATTCTCAGAGGCCTGGGGAGACCAGGTGTTTTCTGCAGTGCCTTCTCTGTTATTTTTGATTTTTCTGATTTTCAAGGCAAGTACGTGACGCTTGAGATTACAGATGCTTCCACACGTGCACTATCTAGTTTTTTAGGAAGAGGCAGAGCTCTGAATTAAGGAGAGTAATATTGGGCAGATGTTAATCGGAAATGGTGCGTCATTTGATTGAGGTTTAATGCGTTATTAGGGGCTTGCTGACCGTCCCTGTCAATGCAAAACATGGGCAGATGTTGGCATTACGGAGAAAAAGAGAACAGAAGTGGATAGACACGAGCAGGCCAGCTGCCAAAAGATCAGCTGACACTCTGCTGACATCAAGTGCAATCTGGGGAGTCCTTATGCCAGCGAGCTTTCCTAGGTAGCAGATGTGTCTCTGTCTGGGTCCCTGCTCTGCAGGAGCCACAGCAGTGTCCATGAACTCGGCTCTCACCTGGGCAGTGCGTCTTTGTTGTCACGAGAGACGTTTCTCTTGTCTTGGCTCTGATCTTAGTGTCTCAGTCTCTGGTTTCATCCGCTGAGGACAGACCGTAAAGAGGAAAGAAAAGGACAGTGAGGTCATCTTGTGCATTGTCACCACGTGCACAGCACTGCATCCCTCTGAGATCTGTGCGCAGCGTGTTGCAGGTGCCTTGGGACTGTGTGGTTTCTCTCCAGCGCAGGATAGGTAGCTTTGGGTTGGTACAGGAGGAATAAAAAACGTCTCTCTCGAGATGTCGGTGGATGAGGTATTGATGGTAGAAAGTTCAACCACGGTAGCACCTCCTGTTATTCATCCTCAGAAGCCTTGAGATGAACTTGGTAAGCGCATCCTCTCCTCTCCTCCCACACCAACCAGTAAAGCCCCACTTCCACGCGTGGCTTCCTCTGGAGCTGATGCTATTGCCAGCAGGAGTTTTTATTTTCCCGAGAAGCAAACAGTGCTTCTGTCACGGCGTATCCCAATACCCACCAAGGGTGATCAGCTGGAAGAAACGTCCTTGCTACTGAGGTGCACTGGAGGGGGAGCCTGATGTTCACTTCAGCAAGACACTGAAATCTAATTTCTGCTTTTGGCTTTGCTGTGGACATGGGAAGCAACCTTGGTCAGGTAAATTAGCTGTGTTTGTATGAAGATGCAAGGTTATTTCCCTTCTCAACCTTTTGCCTCTCTCTGTTTTCTAAATACGTGCTCCTTCTGCCGTGGGTCTCTTCTGCTGTGTGCACGCATAGTGACTACCTCCACGTGTGGCTCAGATAAGCAGGGCTGCAAGCCATCATTAGGATGGAGCAGAGTGCACAGCTGATGGAAAGGGGACTGGGAGGAGGAAGGGAGGTGTCTGTGGGTCCTGCCAGTGGTCCTCGATCTGCTTCTGTTACCCCATTGCATTGGAAGCCAGCTCTGTCCTTGAAGAACATGAATGTGTTTTTTTTTTTCCCTTGTACAATACAGCTAAGAAGAAAAAAGGCTCAAGAACAGAGGTAGGGTTAAGTATACTCAATAAGGACAATTTGACTGTAGCCTGAGCTTTCATAAGAAAGCAGGTTAATATGGAATCAAAACCAAAATCCCCGAGACAGGGAAGTGATAAGGAGGAACAGGATTCCCTGCCCTAGCGTGTTCTGGAGTACCGTGTTGAATAGGTGCTGTAGAAGAGCCTTGGCTTGTTCATTTTCTAAAGGAGAAAAAGGAAAAAAAATATTCTCTCGAGTCCTTGAAAAGTGTGTAATAGTCTACAGTGCCTTTAACACAAAATCTCCTGCAGTAGCGTTCAGTTTAGCAGCCTGTACTAATATTCATGTTCAAGGTTTCATCCACATCAGTGTTGGTTTTTAGGTTTTCGCCTCTCCTGGGGCAAGAGCCTTTAGGTTTTCCCACTTTCAGACCCAGGATCCAAGCCCTTTCTGCAGCAGAAGGTCAAGCCAGGGCAACTGAAATTAGGCAACACAGAACCGCTGCTTACAGCAGCTGGATCACTTCTCATTTTTAGGTGGGACCATTTGCAGAGAAGTATTTGCATGTTACACAGCATGTGCTCACTCTTGGTGTGTTTCGTCTCCCTAAGGTCTTTAACAGCTCTTTTCTTTGAGTCGTCTTTGATCCAAATCTAGGCTTTTAGGTGAACTGCAGTACAAATTTGAGTGTAGGGATATAAATGCATGCCATACTTTCAAAAAACAGACAAAAAAACAACAACAAAAGCAAAAATGTTTGAAGTACTGCCCTGTTTGCTCCTCTCTACCTGTGCCATAGATGCCACTTGGACTGAGTTCTCGCTGTTTTCATGTTTAAAAGTCTTGGGGTTCTTAGTTGGTTTTGGGGTTTTTTAGCTTTATTTTTTATTGTTTTCCTCAGGCATGCTGGGGAGTTTAGCATTCTTCCATATTTGCAACATTTTCAAGGCAATAAAGCCTTGAAAGCTTGGCTGGAGCAAAAACTCCCTGCCATTAGTAAACTGAGGAAAAGGGTGGGATTTAGCAGCTCCTGAAGATATTCCAAGGGATAGATATGATACGGGTGTTTTTAGGGGAAAGACAGCAGTTATTCTTTATCCCTTTGTTTGTGTTATCTCCATGACCATGCTTCAAGGATTGTTTTGCTCAGCTTGATTCCTTCTCATCTCTTGATCCCTGCCAAGCCAGTGTTCTTGGCTGCCTCGAGATGCAAGGAGAGAGTAAACATTACCATCAATAGCATGCAGTTTGTTCAGCGGCTTTAATAACAACCAGATACAGTACTGAGGGGTGTAGTGCACCTGCTTGGATCGGGCGGAGAGGCTTACCTTAGATTTGGTTGTGCTTTGCATAAGAAGTGTTTCTTTAACAAAATCAAACCCCACAAAACCTGTGAAGGCCAGCCACACTTTGCTAGCAGCTTTTCGGCGAGAAATCTCAGTTCAAATCTGCTTCTCTGGGCGATAGCCAGCAGGACATTTGCTAAGTATGAGGAAAGATGTTTCGCTTGTAAATGCTTTGACATAAACCAAGTGCCTTTTCCCAGACTGCCTGGGATGTTTATATGAATGGCTGATAAGCAGGTTTAATGCCTAGTTCCTTGGGCCAACAGCTTCTTCTGACAGTGCTCTTTCTTCATTCATCCCATCATTTGTTTCTACGGGGTTGACCTGCTGGCTCAGTAGCAGAGGGCTTCATTTACCTTCCTTGAAGCCTGGGTTTGCTCAATGCTTAGTATAATTTGTCTTTCAGAAATAAAATGCAGTCAGCACAGCACTCTGCCTTGCCGCTGCCTAGCACTGAGTGCCTAACAGGCTGCATAACTCCTGCCCCAAGCTGAATGTGGTGGGGAGTTTGGCAGGCGTGGGGAGCAACCACGTGGATCACTGCTGCTGTGCCTGGGGCCACTGGTGCCTAGTGAGACAGGCAACTGTGGGAAGGCTGCTGTGATCAGCCTTTCCCCAAAGGCACTGCCCCTGGCCGTAATGCAGCCCTGATCTCTCCTGCAGGCACTTTGCCCTGGTGTCTGCATTCCCCCCGCCCTTCAGACAGCTCTCGCTGCATCTCGGGCCAAATTTGCCCCCAGAGGCACTTTGTTATACACTTACCACAGGTAAATGGATATTGCCCCAACTTATTTTTTGTTTTAGAATATTTCCTGGGGTAGTTGAGTTCTTCTCCTAGTCTTGATGGGAGGTGTGGGCTCACAGACACACGCCAGTCACACACTGCCTGCCACATCACGCGAATGGCCTGGCTCGCAAAGCAGGCTTCTCGTTCAGGATGAATATACTTACAGCGAAGACAGAATCGGAGCTGCCAGCCTAGAAAAGAAAGCAAGTAAGATTGCACGAAGGCAGAAACCCAACTCGCTGCCCAAAGGAAAGGCCGCGGCCGTCGGCAGGCGTGCGTACACCCAGGCACACGGGCGGCGCGTGCGTGCGTGCCTGTGCGACACGGAGAGGAAGCCCTGAAACTTAAACTCCTCCTGCAGCTCTGCATCTGCTCTGAGTCACTGCTATGACTCACGCTGACAGCGTTCACGTTTGCTAGCGTGCAGATGGAGCAGCTCTGGCACCGGGAGAGGCAGGTTGCATTATTGATTACCTGCTGCAGCAGACGCTTGCGCCAAGGCTTTTTTTTATGAGCGCAGACGAAACGCAGCGGGCTCTACTGAACACGGCCATCGTTACTGCTTGCTTAAAGGTAAGAACGCCTGTTATTCGCTAGGGAAGGATAGGAAGGAGAAATCAGAGCTTGGGAAGGTTGAGCTTCTTGCTGCTGCTGCTGCTTGTTCTCGGAGGGAGCTGCGTGACCGCAGAGCTTTGTTTGCGGAGCCGTATGGGGAATCGTGTGGCTGACGGGCAGTGCGTGTCCGAGGAAAGAAAACAGCACGCTCCCATTCATCGTGTTATGTAAGGCATGGCAGCCATGTTAAGGACAGAAGACCTCTTTCGAAGAAACGGTGCTGCCAGACATCAGGGCAGGGAGAGCAGGCGGGCGTCTCAGCAGCCCTCTGCCTGCGCTTCGGAGATCGCCGCAGGTCCGCGGCTCTCGCTTCCCACTGAGCGAGCCCTGCTTCTGAATGGCTCTGGGAATAAAGAGCAGCGGCGTTAGGAAGAGCAAAATGATGATTGTTTACCTTTAAAACCACAGCGCTGCTCTGCCTTCAGCATCCAGGCTGGCAGCGGGCATGCCCTGTGCAGCGCCTGGATGTAAACAGTCTCCTCACATACCCGAAACGCTGCATCCTGATCCCGGGGTTGTTTTCATTCTCTGATGCTAAAAACCCGTGCGTATGTCCTGCTCCCACAGCTGGTTATATGCAGAAAGGGGGACACGTTCTAGTTAGCGTTCACTGCTGAAGAGTGAGGAAAATAGTTGTTTTTTTTTGTAGTGGTTTACTGTTGTTTTCTTCCCTCTGGTGCAATAATTTTAACATAGTCTAGATTTGTGTTGCTAATTATCCTCAGGTAGAACCCACTGAGTCTTGAGCCTTTGCTGTCCCATCCCCAAGAGATTTTCTAAGTTATGAAACCTTTGGTTTTGGATTGCAATGATGAATTTATCTTAATTTCATTCTTTTTTTTTTTTTTTTTCCTTTTCCTTGTATTTTTTGCATTTATGTTGGACGTGCAAGACAGTGCCATTTTCAGGTGCATATAACAGTGAGGTCAGCAGCTGCTCTTAATAACAAGGGAGCCTGGTCACTTCTGTGTATTATTTTCAGAATGAGAGAAAGAGGATGTTTTTGAAACCTCATCATTTATTAGCTTGCTCTCAGCTTCTTGAAACTGCCATGCATTTCCTTGTAAAATCTGCACAAAAGTCACTGCTCTCTTCTCCTCTCAAATAAACATGACAACGTAGCAAGATGATTTAAAATGACAGCATACTTTAGGTTCTTCTTCTATTTATAATTTACAGCATTCACTGAGGCACAGTGTTTTCATTGCTATGAATTAATTACATTTGGCATGACTTCCTATTTAAAAAAAAAAAAAGATTGAGCTTCATAACAAAATGGAGAGCAAGGTTTGCTAGCACATCAGTGTCTGTACACATCTTGTGACATCCAATTTAGAAAACTGCTCTGAGTGAAGCTTGTAAAATAGTGTTGCTCGTGGACTCCCATCTCCACGAGCAAAATTTTGGTCACTGAATTGAATGATATAAAATGAATTGCTGGATATAAAATATCTCTGATGGTGCGGCGTTATGAATGCAAGTTTATCCAATATTAGGGTGGTTTTTAGGGCTGCTTGCTAATGGAGTACTGGCACGTGGCAGTCTTTCCTCCCCCTCACAGATCAAACAATCCAAATAAAACACTTTAATGTCCTAATTTTTCAATTGATTTGTATCTATGTTATTGTTTTCCTGAGATTGTGTCAGAATTGTGTTTGCCTTCATGTCTGCTGTTAAGTATGTATACATTTAGACTAGGAACTCTCTACTATGTCAAACCACAACAAACAATTTATGACAATAAAACGTAAATATCTTCAGTGGAGTTTACAACATTTCCTTATTAATAAGTTGTGGGTGCATTTAAATAATCAACAGTTAACATTTTTGAAAAAAAATTGCAAAAACATGCTTAAAATCAAAAAGAGCGGGTGATGGGTAGCCCCTGAGTCAACCCAGCCCTGACCACAGCCTCTCCGTCCCAATTGTCCGTAAACCATCCGTGGAAGTGATGACCACCAGAGAGGCTCCTTCTGTGCATGGGGTTTGTAATAAATATGATAGGGCTTGTCAAAAATCTGCCCTTTGAAAATTGTTTTTGGTTGCCTTAAGTTGGCTTTGCATTAGGCCATAAAAGCAACGTGGCAGAAGCTGCTGGGGCCATTTCACCTGTCCTTTTAGCAGAACGTGAAGCTGAGAGTTTGTGATCTCCTTGACTTTTTTTTCTGCAATAAAAGTGTTCAGGCTGTCCTTCTTTTCTGCAATAAAAGTGTTCAGGCTGTCCTTTTATTTGTTTCCTCCTGGGTCCAACCTGCAGTGTTTTCCTCCAGTTTCCCTTGTGGCTCTGCCCTACCTGTGGTACTCTGAGCCCCTAGGCTGCCTTCCTGGCACGTGCAAAAAACTTTGAGGAGATCCAGTCTCGTTATTAGAGTGAGTTTGGGCGAATCATGTATAGTATGGGTGATTTTGGGACTGTGTGACCGTTTTACCCGATCATCAAAAATGAAGCACTGTTGTTGCCTCAGATGCTGAGTTGATGCAGAGCAGAAAATGGTCCGTTTATGTCACAAAAAATGATCGCTGTATTTTATGTGGTGATTTGCTATTGATGTTAGACTTCTTGAAAGAGGGCTCTGCAGTATATGGAAGGAAGCAATGTATCAAGGTTTATTTAACACCTCTTTGTGCCACAGAACAGCACGGCATTTTTATTTTCAGCTCAAAATTTGAAAAGGAGGGAGGAAAAAAGGTTGTGGGAGTTGGCTTGGTTACAAGTTTTTCATTTCTCTTTATTGTGTGTGTTAGAAATAAGCTCCTGGAGTTTATGTTGGAATAAAAATCCTTGCATGTGAGCAGTATGAATAGCACTGTTTGCAGTACTGAACTTTTGTTGTTGTTGTTGTTGGAGAACTCACTTTTTGTATTTGAGTAATTTTTAGAAATGACAACTTTTCTGTGAGTTGTTTTGGTGATCTTTCATTTATATGTCTGCATACATCTATCTACAGGGCATCCGCTTTGTCCCTATAGGATTTTCCTAGTTTCTGAATAAGTGGTCTTGTGTGGATTAGATTTGTTCCCTGGTTTTAAAGGGGAGGAGGAAAGAACTAGTTAAATCTTTGCACATACTGTGAAGTTCTTCACTGAATCCTGGGGCAGGTTAAGCAGGGGGACACCAGGAGAGGTGGTAGAGTCATCCTGTTTGCCCTAGAAGGCCCCTATTGTAGAGGGCCTTCTGCCTTCATCACATTGTGAGGTTTTGTATCATTTATGATTTTTGCCTGTTGAAACGTTTATGTATTCTTGAGTGTGTGCAAATTCAAGTAAAGGGCAAAGGGTGCTGCCTATACCTTGACTATATGAATGATAATCCTTTTGTTTGCCTTCAGGGGCCAACTTTCCACCTGACTAGTTCTTCATGACTGTAGTCTCTTTGCCCCCTGCTCTGGAATCGGAGCTAGTTTGAGGATGAGTATAGTTCATTTTGCCCTAGTCAAATGACATTGTGGCCTGGATTATGATGATGCGTTATTTCTGTACTGAGTTCTCCTTGTATTTTATAGGGATGTAGAAATCTGGGATTAATTCTGCTTTCAGTTTGGTGCTTCATCTGTTAAAGCAGCAGAGTACCTCCGAGTTTGCTGTGTGGGTTTAAATAAAGAATAGTGAATTGGTAAATAGGATATTTCGCATGACTGTAAAGTGACCTCCTGTGCCCAGGTAATGCAGAATTAAAAAGAAGTGGGTTCATGATCCTTAATTCAGGTTTATTTTTTAGATAAATGCTTGGTAGTGCCAGATGGCAGAGCTGCTGCGGGCAAAGGTGAATGACGGAGCATGTTGTTCTTGCCTCTGTTTCTGCAGGATATTTTCAAACCAGTAAATGTGATTTTTAAAATGCAAAACAACACAAAAGATGCTGCAGTATTCTGGACTGCACTAAACAGCCACTAATTTCAGCAAGTTTCCTGTGTGTTGTGGGTAAGATTTTAAGCCCTGGATCTGTGAAAACAAGCTGCTATAAAAGATTTCTTCTGTCTCGCTTCCGAAATAGACGCTAGCAGGTGTGACTGTAAAGCCAAAGATATATTTTACCCTGTCATCAGTGTGATTTCTGTTGGGCAGGTGGGTGGGCCTCTCCTGGGGTCTTATGGAGCAACATGGCAAAATGTTGGTTGTTTCAATGCATAGAAGGACATGAAATAATCACATCATGGTAGCAGTTTCTTCTACTGTTTCAGGAAAGTCTGCAAGAAGAGAAGTTTCAAGCTCTGTGTGCTACAATAGTGGGTTTGGGTGATGAGGATCACATCCTGAATGTTTCTAGCAGTAAGTGTAGTAGCGTGGCTATGAATGCGTGACATAAAAATGCACGCAGCCGAGCTGGCTAGCTGGAGGTCTTTCTGTTTTAAATTCTCTCTGACGTGATCGCCTGGGAAAAGTTTGTTAAATTATTCTCTTCCTGAGATAAGTGGATGACTTTCAGTGGCATTTTGGTAAACAGGAGGTAGTGAGTAATAGGAGGAATGTGGCCTTTGTGGTTTTGCCTACATAAGATTTCTATTGTCCCGTACCTTTGGAGGTTCAGTGGTGAGAACATGAAATCCACATCACCAACACTTCCACAGAACAGTGATTTTACACTGAAAAGTTGTGTGGAAAAGCGACTGCTGTTTCGCCAGTATGTATGCAGGGAGGCAGGCTTGCAAACTGGACTACCAGAGATGGGCTTTGGAAGACAAGTGGGGAATGGGAAGAGATTTATCTTCTTGGTGGCTCTTCTGTGAAGCCCCCCCAGTTCAGCTGGGGAACAGAAGGGGGCCGGTTAAAATTGCATCCTTTATGATTGCCACCCTTTATCAGCAGCTTTTGTAACTGAATGCATGTGAGTATTACTGAGTATTACTGTCCTTTCAGCTCATATGGTCTGAGAGACACTCAGGGCCTCGGCCGCCTGAGGGCTCCTCCTCAGTGAACTTGCAAATGGCGCCCAGCAGAGCTCCTGTGGCGGGGGGTGG